TCTCGTGCCTAATATTGCATAATGACATGAGAAAGAAAATGGGAAAATACTAATAAAATTGTTGCTAAGCCATGGGGCTTAGCAACAATTAGGATACATATTAGGATATATAATTATACATATTATACAATCACATATTAGGATCTCACAAGTGACAGGTTGCTCATGACTCCTTTTAGATGATCTTTCAGTACACTACAAACTAATCATGTGAGCAATCGAATATTTTTCTATATCATCTATTCTTACAAGGAGAGGTGCAAATATCAGGAAACTGATATGGATGAAACTTATTTCTATAATAGTGCTTCACTAGTACTAAAACATAAGAGAAGGGCTAGAACATAAAATGTAGCCAATTTTACAAAAATTCTCTAGAAACCTAGGTTAATGAATGCCTACAATCCTGCATACAGATTTCTGACAAAATGATGCAGTAAAGTAGCTAATGCTCTTGACTACCACACTGCTGGCCTGTGTTCAGTTTCCTCCAATAATTTTTTACATGAACAGCAAACCGTGTTTTTATTATTGTAATTATTGATAATTTCAAGTGAATAATTACTTATTACGGTTAAGTATTTTAAACAAATGTGCTTGTGACACCAATGATTAAATTGAAGAACTTTTCAAATAAAACAATTTGTAATATTTTTATAAAAAACTCTTCACTTGTTGGTAACAGTAAACATGACAAGATTGACTTAATGGGCATGTTTCCTTGTCAATCAGCTAAGTAAGCAAGCCAGTGACATAGTTTGTTTTATATGAAATGATTAAACAAACACTCTTGTAACAAACTAAGGTTCATACAATAGATAATTGAATTAATATTGTTTAAACTATTTTGTTTTATATTTTATATATGTTAAATATTTTAAACTATATTGTTTAAAATATTTTATTAGAGAATAAAAGAAATCGTGGAGCAAAAATGAATAAATTAGGAAGATATTTCAAAAGTGTGATTTTTCTCAATCAAATTATGTTTACTAGTAAAAGGTGTGAGATTTTATTATAATGAAAATATATAAACTGCATTCTATTGGTATTATATCTTGCTAAAGAATTCGTTTGTTGCATCTGAAGAGTAATTTCTTTTGCACTTTATCTTGAATGTTTCTAAATAAACTAGTATAGATTCTGGTTAAAAGCTACATTAAACATTTATCATGAATCAGCATTTATTCTTAGAAAATTTTTAAGTGAAACTTCTTTACTGGCATGAATAAAACATGTACTTGGATATGAAAATGTGTCATGAAAGTTATTAAGTTATCCAATATTCCACTGGCTCTGCTCCCATTGTTGTACCATTCTTTACTGATTCCTTGTGGTTGTTAATGGCTGGATTCAATCCTTAAATGTGAGATATCTCCCAGAGATATCTCACATTTAAGGATCTGGGATATCTAGAGTTATTTATGCAAAATATTGCTCTTTCCAATAGTGCAGCCTTTTGTTGCATATGAATGTTGATTTTATTAAGCTCTAGATTCTTCAGGTGTCAGGCATACTTAAAAACTTTCTATTTGTTTCTTTTCCACTCTGCTATCACTTGGGACTGCCACATATAAAATTCATATTTTGTTTTTTCTATTAGCTTAATGTCTGGGATATTATGAACTAGATTTGTCCATTTGTATTAAAAAATTCCAGAGTATTTTTTCCTTCTCATCTTCAACATTGTTTTGCTTTTGTGATCATCTTGAGTCCTGTTACACTGGAAGCCTAACTTTCTGCAAAGATTTCAGTGAATCATCATTGACATTTTGTTATAGCATTCAAAATATATTTGTGCAATTTTCTTGCATCAGCTTTGCACAGCAGAACTATGGTCCATTATGTGACTTTTCAATCTGTGTTTGAATTAATGTTCTTAAATGCTTATTTTTGTGCAGCAAGAATGAGGCCTTCTGTTTCCTTTATTAAAATCTCTTTTCTTACCCACACTTTTTTTTTTACTGTTGACATTGACTTTCCCTTCTTTGCGGTATTTGTTACATAGGGCTTTATTTTTTTAGGCATAGTGTTCCTTTCATGTTCTCAATACTATGCCTTCTCAGTTTCTTCCAGATTTTTTCACTTTCTTCTATATATTTTTAATTTCTTCTATGTATTGCAATAGGTCTCTCTCTTTCTCTATAGTTTGTTTAATCTGTAGTAGTCCTAGTTCTCCTTTACAATACAGAAGATAAGATTGGTCAGTGCCACTTCATGGACATAAGGTGCCTATTGATTGTAATTATTATTCATATTTTTCAGTCTAACATATCTAGTTCAGTCTGGATTCAGTCAATTATGCTAGCAATGTAATGTATAACAGACTCTACCAAGGTATTTAGTGCTTTTGATTTAAAAACTTTCCTTATCTATCTCATATATTCTTTACTGATCTTGCTTTTCATTTCATTATATTTGAATATTTTTGCCTATAAAGCCAGGTATGCACATACTTGTATACAAATCCACCTGTCTGGTATAATAGTACTTGTGTACCAGACCTTAAGATACTCAAGTATTTGTAACTTTCTTCAGGTTGAAGGCTCTTTATTTCATTACCATTGAGCATTTTCAAACCTTTAATAGTTGCTAGTATCTCTCTCTTTACCACCAAAATTGTACAAGATTGGCCTATCATAACTTTGGAAGTTTGTATGAATGGCTGATTAGGATAGATTTAAGATAGATTTAGACCACATTATTTGTAATTTCTTTACCTAAGATACTAAAGAAATCTTAAGTACAGCAATTGAAAATATAAAAAAATTATATATATCTCATAACATCATTTATTATCCTATTATTGAGAGTCATGATAGCGACTCCACCAAGTAAAAAAGTTAATAACTGACTGTATACAGGATTCAGAATTGCTGATTTTCAGAGGTTGATCTCTCTGCCCTAAATGCCTAGAGTTATTCTGAAGATCTCATTTGAAAGAGGATTGTTTCCTTAGATACTGTGCAAAATTTCGGATTTTTCTATAATGGAGTTGCCAAAATGTAAGCAATCAAAAAGTGCAAAAATTGCCAAAAAAAAAAAAAAAGCTGTATTTTCTTCTTTTCTTCATCTGGCACTGCAGATGCTCCCGAAGAAAAAAACTACTTGGTCTAGAAAGATCAAATTTTAAACTTAAATTCCTCTCATTAATATTGAGGTGCTTGTGAAACTTCTGGGTTGATAAGTCTAAGTTCATGGGGTTCCCCTAAAGCAATTTTACTTCTATTGCTTAATTTTTTGCTTGTGTGGATAAAATTGCATCAAAACGGATGATTTTAAATCATGGTGTTATCCAGAATTACAAAAACCTCAAATTTATGTGAATTAGAACTTTTTATAATGATTTTACTAACAGTGAATTAAAAGCGTTCAATCAGCAGCTATCTCCGAGCACCAACCAAACTGTACTGTAATCATTACCTAAGACATTGGTCTTAGGTATTGATGTAATAACGTAATCATTAACCAAAAAACAATTTATATCAAAACAAAAAACATCTATAATTGTCCATATTTAGTTTAAATTATTTTAACTTAAAAATAGCAGGACATTGAGTATGTTTCTAAAGGCAGTTATCATGCCACTTTTAAATGCAAATTAAGACTTAATGTTAATTGCTTTTCTTATGTAAATGAAAGTTATTAATTTAAATAATTGTCGTAACCTGCTGCTATTTTAAGAAACAACAATACTGTGTAATTTAATTAATTCACAAAAAATATATACAAAAAGAATTAGGTTAAGTGGCAAGTAATATGGTGATAGAATGTTTACAAACACAATTTTAAATTACTTGATTTTTTCTTTGAAAATATAAATATAGGTTTAAGTGTGCTGTGAGATAAAAAAAAAAAAAAAAAGGTTGAAAAACACTAATCTACAGGGTGGAAAGAATTTTTTAAAAATTGTTCTTCACATTCTTTATTTTGTGTTATGTAAATCGGTAAAAAAAGAAGTTAATCCACTGATTTTATCAAAAGATATTGAAGTATTTAATATACAGGTATTCATCGTATAATACGGTAATTACATTCTGAAAACGTGCCATGTTATGTGAATCTGTGCTATGCAAAACAAAGGACTAAAAATGCAAAACATGGGGTTATGTTCCAGAAGTTAGCAAAAGTATACTTTTCTTTTTTGTTACTAACAGAAATATGTTTATTAAAGCAATTGATAATTTATTTCCAATCAATAATTAATTAACAATCACAGTTAAAAGTACTCTATTATGCATTAATATTGTGTAAACAAGGGGATTTTCTTTTTACAAAGTATTGTCATCTCAGCTTTTTTGTTAATCTTGATCAGAAGTATTGGGAACATTTTCATATTTTTTATTTTTATCATAAAAAAACTTTTATGGGTGATAAAATAAAAATATGTTATTGAAAGAAAACTTGTTCTAGTGGATTGCGTTTGTTCAGTCCAGTGCCGAGCAATTTATTCCAGAATGTGTGTTCAAATATCAAATTGTTCAAGTACCGAGATGCTGCCATATTTTATTTGGCATTTTATGAATGATTGCTTACCTACAGTTAAAAGAAAGTTTAATAACACCTAAAAATGCTTAAATAAACTTTACTAATCTATAAAAAAATTAAGCTATAAAAAGAAAAAACAGCGACAGTCTTAAGGACTAAAGTCTGAAAGTAATGACGACGACACCCGGTTGATAGGAAAGTTAGTGCAAATTAGACTCAATCTCTGTCGGTAGCAATCCCTAATCTGTCGGTAACTACCCTATCCATATGGAAAATTTTTAACAAATTTACCAATAAGAAAATTATTTTTTATACCAAGTATTAAAAATGAAAATTTTAAATTCAGTTTTTATATATAAATGCTTAGTAGGTTAAATTAAATAGTTGGAATGTTATTTAAAAATTGTATTCATTTATATATAAAATCTTATTTTTATTATCTTAATAATAACTATTGTACATTTTAGTATTAATAAATAATTGTTATTATTTATTATGCCTTTAAATAATAGGGTCAAGTCTATACTACCCGATATAGAAAGCTTAAAGAAAAATTTTAAGATTGATGCAGCTTCCGTTTTATCGGATGATAAAAATAATGAAGAAATAGTAGAAGGAGGGAAAGATTCTCAAGAAATTCAAAAAATAAAAGAAGAAAAACCGAAGAAAAAGAAAAAAGAAAGACCAGGGTTTCGAGATAGAAAAGTATGTTGTTATTTGGATGATTTCACACCTAATGATACAATTAAAAGGTTCACTATAAAGATTAAAAACTATATACTTTTTAATGTTTAAAGTTTTGGTGATTAATTACATTTAATAAACATGTTAAATATATTATATTGCATTTTAAAATCAAATTATATCAATCAGATAAATCAAATCATATTCTTTAAAATTTGGACAAATATTGTGTAAATATTAAAGTAAATTTTGTTGTTATTTTTATTTACAAATACTGTGATGGTAAATGATTTAATCTATGACAATTTGATGGAACAAAACTTCATAAACACTGAATACAAAGTTATCAGTCTTTTCTGTGATAATTTCTTTCAGAATCTCTACCTTCATTAGTTAGGTGACAAACTACTTTCAGTATTTATTTATTAAATTTAAAACACAGAGTATTTCTAAATGATCTTCCTGGTTTCGGTGACTAATTATTCCAGTTTAATCAAATGCAGGTAAACAAAAAAATGAAAACTGAAGAAGTTTTTCCTTACCTACTACAAATGTTCAATGTGCTATCCACACATAACATGACACACATCAAATTCCTGCCAAACTCTGTCTAGCATGTCAGCATCAATTTCTGCAATCGATGCAGAGGATTACTTCATAGAAAAGAGATGAAGCAACATTCCACATTTCTGGGAAAGTGAACAGACATGATGTAAGGATTTGGGTATCTAAAATCCTCGTTCAGTTTTGCAAGATGAACACAATTCCCCAAAATTAACACCTTCTATGCCATTTCTTATTAAAAGATTTATGGTCCCTTTTTTTTTTTCATCTGATTGATGGTTACTACTTATCTGGACATGCTGATGCAATGGCTATTCCCACAGCTCAAGGAAGACAGTGCTTACTTACTTCATCTTTGGCAAAGTTTGGCAGGAAGTTGATTACAGGTTTGATGTTATTGTATTATGCATGGATCATACCTTGAACATTTGTAATAGGTAAGGGAAATAAACATGATTTACACACACAGAAACTGAAAACTGAATAAGTTTGTGTTTTGTAAATCATGTTTGTTTGCAGTTAATTAAACTGGAATAATCAGTCACCGAAATCTGGAACTTCATTTAGAATTACTCTGTATATTTCATAAATTATCAAGTTTGTGTGTCTATATAATTCCTGTTTTTTGCTAAAGAATTTTTCATTTCCTTTTCCAGAAAATCTTTTAACAAATTAAATATTATATAACCTGACTTATATAAAATCAAATTAAATATATTTTCTTTCTTAATTCCAAATAATTGCAATGTCAGTAATGACAGCAACTACAAATATTCTCTTAAACAAGACCACAAAATCAGGCAAAAACGTACAAAACAAGACAACAGACAAAAAGCAATCAGAATAAGAACACAAAAATCCGAAACTTGGAAACTTTCAAGCAATCTGATTTATGATGTTTGAACCAATGAATTTCAAACTAAGAACAAAGCCTTTGAACATTCTGTACAAAGTCTTGTTTTCAATTTTTATACCAGATTGATTAATAATAATAATAATAATATACTCATAAATAACTGAAAAAATGCTGCTAATGTACAGGGCAATCATAATTAAAGAGTAGGTATTCTGACCTTTCTGTAGAAAGAACTATTATGCAAACCTCAACCAAATTTAGTTTACATATTGTCTTGAATATTTAGTTTTAATTTTGGGAAAACTTTTTATCTCAAAATTCAGCCACCAGTACAAAATTTGGTAGTGCTGTTCTCTTAATGTGGATATTACATACATTTTCTTACAAATTTTGGGAGTTAAGAAACAAAGTGCAAATAATTTTATTTCAGTTACAGATGTGGAATGGGAATTGACATGTGAAATTCTGTCTTTTAAGACATGAAGGTTGGTAATAGTGCCTTGATAAATGAAGCTCTTTATGTAGCCTCATAACCAAAAGTCACAAGGATTCAGATCTTATGATTGTAGAGGTCATGGCATCAAAAATGATTTGCTAATTACTCTCTTGTATGAAAGATGTTATTGTAATGCTTGCACATTTAAACCAATATATGGTGTGCACCATTTTTCATAAGGATTGTGGTTAATAAAATTAAAGACAATCTGCCCAAAAGGGACCACCATTTATTTCTTTCCAGATGATACATATTCACGGTGACCGACCTTCCTTTTTAGGCTACATGCCACCAGAATTTAAAAAAGTCCTTTAAAAAACACAAATATATCCAATTAAAAAGCTTGTTCCAGTAGATAAAAGCAGAAACTCCATAGGATGGATGAAAAGCAAGACTTCTGTATGTCACCTGTTCCTTTTTTAGAAATTTTATAATTTTAAAGCTACACACCAATCGAATGCCGAAAATCTATCGGGCTAGTATAAGGCTAACTATTAAATTAAATTACGTAATCAATTTGGCACTAGAGGTAAGCGTTAGGCACCATCTCTTATTAACATTAATAATTATAAATTAATTAATTAATTTAAATAATTTAGAACCGCTGGGAGAAAAAATCGGCCTGGAGAAGGACTTGAACCCACAACTCCTGCTTACCGTGCAGATGTGTTGCCAGTTACGCTATCCGGACCTCCAGTTCGATCTCCTCTTCCAGCGTATATAAGCTAACTATGTAACCATCGACGGTTATTACAACGCCGGCTGGGGACACATTCAGTGCTCACGTCCCACTGTTTAAGAAGTGGCCTTCTAGAAGTGTTTGTAATAAGAATAATAAGGTGGGCCAACGAAAACGAAACGGCAGAGTTATCGTGTTTGTCCAAGCAAATTGCTCGGACAGGTCGATTTTATTCTCAAGGGGGATTATTTTTTTCCTTGCATATGCCGTCCAGCTTAAAAGGTTTTTTTTTTATGTTTGTTAATAGTTTGTGTTACTTTTTTCCAAAATAAGTGTTTATTTAGTTAATAAAAAATGAATGAGTTTTTAAAATTTTTTGTTGTCTGTTGTATTATTGCAAAAACTTTATTGCAGAAGATGTCCCCCTTGAAAATAAAATCGACCTGTCCGAGCGATTTGCTTGGACGAACACAATAACTCTGCCGTTTCGTTTANTATATGGTGTGCACCATTTTTCATAAGGATTGTGGTTAATAAAATTAAAGACAATCTGCCCAAAAGGGACCACCATTTATTTCTTTCCAGATGATACATATTCACGGTGACCGACCTTCCTTTTTAGGCTACATGCCACCAGAATTTAAAAAAGTCCTTTAAAAAACACAAATATATCCAATTAAAAAGCTTGTTCCAGTAGATAAAAGCAGAAACTCCATAGGATGGATGAAAAGCAAGACTTCTGTATGTCACCTGTTCCTTTTTTAGAAATTTTATAATTTTAAAGCTACACACCAATCGAATGCCGAAAATCTATCGGGCTAGTATAAGGCTAACTATTAAATTAAATTACGTAATCAATTTGGCACTAGAGGTAAGCGTTAGGCACCATCTCTTATTAATATTAATAATTATAAATTAATTAATTAATTTAAATAATTTAGAACCGCTGGGAGAAAAAATCGGCCTGGAGAAGGACTTGAACCCACAACTCCTGCTTACCGTGCAGATGTGTTGCCAGTTACGCTATCCGGACCTCCAGTTCGATCTCCTCTTCCAGCGTATATAAGCTAACTATGTAACCATCGACGGTTATTACAACGCCGGCTGGGGACACATTCAGTGCTCACGTCCCACTGTTTAAGAAGTGGCCTTCTAGAAGTGTTTGTAATAAGAATAATAAGGTGGGCCAACGAAAACGAAACGGCAGAGTTATCGTGTTTGTCCAAGCAAATTGCTCGGACAGGTCGATTTTATTCTCAAGGGGGATTATTTTTTTCCTTGCATATGCCGTCCAGCTTAAAAGGTTTTTTTTTTATGTTTGTTAATAGTTTGTGTTACTTTTTTCCAAAATAAGTGTTTATTTAGTTAATAAAAAATGAATGAGTTTTTAAAATTTTTTGTTGTCTGTTGTATTATTGCAAAAACTTTATTGCAGAAGATGTCCCCCTTGAAAATAAAATCGACCTGTCCGAGCGATTTGCTTGGACGAACACAATAACTCTGCCGTTTCGTTTTCGATGGCCCACCCTGTATAATAAATGCAATCAATCTGATAATTACAGTCGAACAAACAATCGGATTCCTTTATTGGGCTTTTAAGGCTAAATAATTATTGAGTATTTTAGCAGGTGTTAGACAGTTAGGCTTACATCACTTGTTAACTTTAAATTTATTTGTTTATAATTAATAAATTTAACAAGATGATGGTTTAACTTCCTACTTCCTGCCAAATTACTTAGTAATTATTTAGCCTTAATAGTCCAAGAAATCTGACTATATGTTTTATAATAGCAGTAATGCTGCTTTAGAAGCAAATATTCTAAACAAATTAATTTGCCATCATCACTTGATATACAGTATTTACTATTAATATATAGAAATAATTCAGATAATAATGATGTTTGTATAGTTCTTACATTTATTGTGAAAAGTACAATTATAATTTAAGGGAAAATATTTGATTATTTAATCAATTCAACATTTTTCTTGCATTAAATTTATTTTCATTACTATTCTGTTAATGAAATGATTTAGAAAAATTTAAATGAAACCCAAATAATTTTCTAATTTCAGATAATTGAATACGAAAACAGGATACGTGCATATTCGACACCAGATAAAATATTTAGATACTTTGCCACATTAAGGGTTTATAACGAACATGGTTACTCTGAAATATTTATGACTCCTGAAGATTTCCTGCGATCATTAACTCCTGGTGTAAAACAACCCGAAGGTAAAATCTTAAATCTTACAAAATTGTGAAATCAATACTTTGCTATAAATAATTTTTTTATTAAATTCGCATATTGTCGTAAAATTTATGTAGGAATAGTAATAGACAATAATAATTTAGTGTTCATAATCATCTTCAAATTTTACTAAATAACTAACATAATTACAATAATTTAAAATGGTAGCATTCATTTTTGAAGACCCTGTATAAGTGTATAAGATTTTGTATTAACAATAGAATATATAAATTAAGTTTCATACATAAAGCTTTTTTTATATTTTCTAAGGTCTGGGACTTGATCAATTTAAAAGAATCGATATCAAAGTAAGCACAGTTTATATTTCACTCTGCTATTAATTTATAAATGTTGTTTATTTATTGATCAACAAAGTTCATTTTAAAAATTCTATTTTATATTAATTTCTTCTTCCAAAAATCGACTTTTTAAATATAAAATACTTAAATGTTAATTCAATTAATACCTAGAATTGCTTCTTTTGTTGTTATAATGTATACGAAAGTTAAGTGGATTGCAGAAAATGAAAAAAAAGGAAAAAACTTTATGCATTTTTAATTTGTATAAAGGTTTTGAAAGAAAATTCTGTTGAATTAATATTTTATCTATTTTCAAATATTTCATTGTCAAAATTAAAAGAATTATTCATGTATAGTTAATTTATATTGCTAGTCTTTCTGATTTATTACTAGAATAACTGATATTGATCAACAAACTAAAAACTTAGTTTTATGAACAATTTTTGTAATATGGAGTTGAAAAATTTACTGTTAGATGTAGAATATTAGATAACTTCTGGAAATTGCCATTAACTGATGATGAGTTTCTTGTGTTCATATTAAAATCATAAACCATAGCTGAATGATCAGAGCGGTGAAATACTGTGGCCTACTACTGTGAGGGCTTGGGTTCAAGTCTGCATCAGAACTTCAGAAATCTTCATAGGTGGTTTGACCCACGAGTATTGCATCCTGTGTCTTGCCACCTGGTCTTAGGCCTGCCATATTTGCAATCAGCATAATAAAACTCTTTACACTCAAGTCTTTTGACAGTATCAAACAAGATTCTTCCAATTAATTAGAGAATTTAATAACACATCTTTCATCTATTTATATATTTGATTATTTTAATAATGCAATTGTAGGTTATCCTAAGAGATGTCTTAGGATAATCTACAGTAAATTGATTTTGAATGATGATAAATTTAGATGAAATATTTTAAATTAATTTTAATTTTAGTTTAATTAATTATAAATATAATATAGTTTGTAACAATAATTGTAAATTTCAACCATGATTCCTCTTCCCGACCAGAGTGATACGCCAAGTCGCAGATTTACTTCAGAAACCGGACATTATTCAGTGGGTTGTTCCTCTGTATTTGTTTTGAATGTTTTATATATTTTTTTGTGCTTTGCACGTCAATATTGGCATGTTGTGAATCTGTGTGAAAATTTATTGATAATTTCTTTATCTTTTATTGCTTGATTAATGGCATGATTCTGAAAATGGTCATTAATTCAAATACAGTAGAGTCCTTGTGTGTGTAATAGTAAATTATAAGTCAAATGGCAACTATTCCCCAAGGATGAAAGCTCTAATTTGATAATATCAATAGTAAATGACAGAGATTCAGTCAGATACAAATGAAATTGCTTTATTTTTCAGTATAAGATATTCTTAATGCACATTCTTGAAACCTGTTGTGTCACTAGATTGGTATCGACAATCACATAAAAATCCAAATAGATGATTATTGCACTAAAATTTGGAATTACGATCAGTCATTTGTCATAATTCTGAATTGAAATAAATGTTTACTGAATTAAGATAATTAGGCCCATTAAGAGTTATTGTAATTCCAAATTAATTGAATGTTAGGGCTCTACTGTATTAATTTCTGAAATTAACCCCTTAACTCTGAATGATTGAAAATGATAGTTACCAAATTTTACAAGTTGTCAGAACAAGTCGTCCTTTAAGTTTAGAAGATTTTACAATGATCTGTTTGAAATAAAGTGAAAAAATAATGCCAAAAACTTTATTTAATAGTGATTTTAGAACTTGCTTCAGCATAAAACTTGCCATGATTTAAATGAAACAGTTAAGATCAAAACAATATCAAAAAATTTAAGGGATTAGACTGGCTTTGCTTTTGTTCTAGATGTGGGTGTGTTACAGAAAATATGCACAACACAGAAAAAAGTTTGGTGTTACAATGAGATTTAAGAAGTTGCTATGATTGACACTTAAATTTGGGGTCGTGAGTAGGATAAATGTCATGCATGCCCGAACTTTGGCCCATCGTGCAATGCATTTACGGTGAATAGGGCATATTTACTTGTATTTATGGAACATCTTTTCCAGAACTAAGCATGTGTTACTAATAAAAACAAATAAAATGCAAAAGAAATATGAATATATCTACAGCATATACAGTAGGCTAGATAATGTTAATTTATCTATTGATACTTAACAATCTTCTATAATTTGAAGATGAAATTAGATAGTGATTGAATAATGCCCATCTTGTTAATTGAGAAAATGGATGTTTAATCTTGCATCTTACATTAAATACACTAGCAGTAGGGAACAAATGTTGAAAAGAAGAAAGTTAATTCATAGGATAGTAAAGATACTTTGCCATCTGACAATAACAAATTGATGATATTTTAATATCATACGTTGGCTAGCTAAATGTATCAATCCGATGCTGCGAGAGATCCATATTCAAGTCTGGTTTGGATCCTAGGTAAATCTGCAGTGGGCATGAAAAAGTTAGGTAAGATCATGTTGTTGTATATGTATATAATAAATTTTAGAGCAGAAACTATTAGAATTCTCTGTTGCAAGATAAAAAAAAAAAGAAATGCACATTAAGGGGTTAAATTTTCAGAAAGGAGTGCTTTGTAAGTTTTTAATTATGGATTGTGTTTTTATTTTAAATTTAACTCTTTGGATAGATGATGATTGTAGCAGATAAATTTCTCTCTTCTACTCTTCTTTAAACTTGTATTTTGATGGAATGCTGCATTATGGTAATTTTGTGTGAAATTTCTTTTTAATGAAATTTGCCTAAAACATTTTTATTAATCTTTAAAATCTTAATGTAAATGAATATAATTAATTTTTTAAAATTTTTTTGAAATTACAAAATGACAACTATTGAGCAATAAACTTTACTTGTCTAAAATTATATTCTTTACATTTGCATTTTTTATTATCTAATACTTAGTAAATAATAACCAAAGTATTGCACTTTACCATTATGTTTTTATTTAAATATCTTTCAGGAGACTTCAAAAACACATTCTCTAGTACAGAATGAAGACAGCATATTCTACAAACTGGGAACAGCGGGACTTATTGGTTTTTCCGAATATATATTTTTATTAACCATACTTTCAGGTGAGATTGTGTTGGGTCTCGTGTATGCTCGCGACGTTATCTGCAAGTTTGTCAAAAGTCTCCATTGGTAAGAAAAAGGCTGTTTACATGGTTATTTTCTAGGTACAAAATATGCTGTGTGTTCCTTTATTAGCACATACGTGCATAACACCTGACATATTCCATTAGTGTTTTGTAACTCCACCCAGTATACAATTCTTTTTGAGTACCCCATAGATAAAGATTTCCTTAAGGACCTTTAGAGAGCCACTCCACAAGATGATGACCAGTTTAATGAAGCTGACATTGCTGATCAAATACCTAGCACTACATGGAGGCTTTTGACTTACCCCAATAATTGAATATAATGATTTTTGTAGTAGAAATACTATTTCTATGGTATAATCCACAAAACTAAATTCTTTTCATGGGTCTGTGGTTTTATTTAATAATTGCAATTGGGTCCAAGCAGTTAGCCTATACTTTATATATTACAGGACATGCCTTGTTTAAGGCATGTCCTGTAATATATAGGTTTGGGATGAAAAGTGACAATGCTGTTATTATCAACATTGAATTTGTTTGGAGAAAATTTACAAGGGTTTACATTGAATAATTCTTTTTTGTATTGTGAGCCCGACAGTTTAGATGCAGAACAAGAGAATAAAAAATTGCTTAATCTGTGTATAATGATAGATTAATAGGTCATAACAAATTTTTTTTACAGCAGAGCATTAGAACTTGAATTTTACAATTCCAATTTTGTCCCTCAAATGATTTAATGATGTACAGTATCTTTATATAAAAACAGTCATGCTTGTGTAATTTTTCTCACAGAACAGCTTGTTTTGAACTGATACAATTACCATTATTTTTGGAATTCAAACTAATAGACTTGTGAACTAAATTTGGTTTGATACAATTGATTTTTTTGCATTTTTCATCCAGAGATGATGGTAGATTCATTACTGCTTAAACTTTAGTAAAAGAAATTTTTTATGATCGTCACCTGCTAAATCTAGAAGTGATGTCAAACAGGAAATGCTACTTCATGCAGTTCGGGAGGCAGTTCGAACTTGGTATTATACAATAAGATCCTTGTGTCATACATAACTTCTATTTTGTGATTCTGTTTGGCCTAGTCTTTCTTTTTAAGGATGATAATGTTTGGCTTATTCACTTTTATTAAAACTGATATTTTTTTGCAGTTTGAATTGGTAAACTAGATCTTGGGACTTGACTGCCATAGGGTGTGTCAGAGATGTTCTAAGATGCATTGTGTCGGCCTTTTCATAGTTATTCACGAGCTGAGAAATGGAATTTGTTGCTTGCAAAGCTAATTGACCATCTTAAATTTGCATAATTTGTTGTCATGAAAATTATTTCCTCATTTCTTTCCTATTAACCTTTCACACTGATAACATCTTATGTATTTAATCTCTTAATTTTGGAGAATATAATTATATTATTAAATAATTAGTATAATGTCAGAATGAAAATCGTATTTGTGTTTACTATAAAAATATAAACAAACTTTATTTCCTACCGTAGCTTCCAAGCGTCATTTTGAAATTGCTTTCAGGATGTTTGATCTCAATGGCGATGGGAACGTGGATTATGAGGAATTTGAAAAGGTAAGTCAGTCACTTATCTTTTTTGATTATTAGCTTGATTTAAATTGAGTTAGAACTGCCCCTAGAGTTTGCGGGACCTGGGGCCAAAGTCGATATTATTTAAAACATATAACCTCACTTCTCTACTCTATTTAGGCTTTGTGGAACTCTTACTTTAATTCTAATAAAATTATAGAGTGCCATTATCAATAATGAACTGGTGATTTAAAAAATCTAAATTCTTTTTCTTCATGGGTACACTAAAAGATCTCTTTTCAAGCCCATAGTGGGTTTGGCTAGGCCCCAATATATCTGGGCCCTCTGAAAAATTTTGCCTTGCCCTGCTTGCTGTTAAGGACAGTACTGATATAAATTTACAAGACAACTGTAAGATTTAACAAGATTAACTCAAATTTCTAGGTACAGAGAATCATCCGTAATCAAACTAGTGTCGGAATGAGGCACAGAGATCATGCAAATACCGGAAATATATACAAAGGTTTCAGCAGTGCTCTGGCGACTTACTTTTTTGGTGTCAACCTGGACGAAAAACTTACGATCGAAAATTTCTTACTGTTTCAAGAGCAGTTGCAGAAGGAAATTTTAACGTTAGAGGTTTGTATCCAATTTTTATATTAGATTAAAATTTGCTAATTTACATTTAAATTTAAACATAATTGCATATATGTTTCATTATATGTTAAACAAAACAAACTTGTACAAACAAAAAAATCGTTTTCTTAATTTGATGTGGACATATTCTGTTTATCACATTTAAATTACAAATTAATAAAATTAGTTTCGAAGAAAAGAACCAAATGAAGAGGGTAAGATCCGAGAGATAGACTTCGCAGATCTGTTGCTGACTTATGCCGGAATGCCAGAAAAAAGAAAATTAAAAATGCTGAAAAGGGTGAAAAAAGCATTCAAACAAAGCACGAAGGTAAATATCGGTATGTGGTGTGTAGCATTCATTGACGTTCTGTATTAATGCAACTATGCAAACGATTTTCATCCTAGGGCATCTCCCTGGACGATTACCTTCGATTCTTTCATTTCTTGAACAACATTGCAGACGTAGACACTGCACTCACTTTCTATCACATTGCCGGTGCTTCGATAGATGAAGGTAAGCAAACAATCTTTATAGAAATAAGTTATAAATAACAGAATTCCTACATCCTTGTTTTAAGCACAGAAATGGAAATAATATTAAAAATCATTAGCATTGACAGACCAAAAATTTAATTAGATTAGATTTTATTTTTAATATAAATATGAATGAAGAATTTTTACATTTCCAATACAGTGGTACCTCGGTATATGTCTGCTTTAGAATGCATCCAGCTCGGTATACAACTTAATTCAATTATACGTGCCATCTATGAACAAGTAGCACTATCGGTGTACTAGACCAGACTAGACGTTTGCGGTGCCACAGTTTATAATGGGTGGGCAAGCAAGAGTTCATTGGGAGCCGAAATGTAGGTTTTGCAAAATGCATGGGAGCTGCAATTTTGTATTTTTTTACTCTGTACCACAATTTTATTATATAATATAAAACAAAAATATTGATTTTTTTCAATAAACACATTTTCACAAAATTGTGGAAATAAAATTGTAAAAATAATAATAAAAAGCAGAAATTAACACTTTCAGCAAGAGCCGCATTTAACTCAAAAAGAGCCACATTTGCCCATGTCTGGTTTATAACTTTGTTAAATTTCTTCTGATTTTAATTTGTAAGTAAAATTTTATTATTTTTATTAATCATGAATTGCAAAAAGACAAATGAGAAGCAACAGAAAACTAAAAAAATGACTGGAATCACAATGGAACTGAAAAAAGAGATTGTTGAGAAATATGAAGGTGGCACGCGTGTTCGAGATTTTAACTGTTGCATACCGTTGAGAACGACGATATTAACAATCGTGAAAAATAAATACATTATTAAACCTGCTAACGTTGCTAAAGGGGTTAAATCAATTTCTAAACAGAAATTGAAGACATTAGATCATGTTGAGAAATTGCTTTTGCTTTGGATAACTGAAAAACAGTGTGCTGGTGACAGCGTATCAGAAGCAATTATTTGCGAGAAAGCTAAAAAGATGCATGCTGATCTCATGAAAAATCAAGCAGGAACTAGCCAGGAAAGCAAGGTGTTTAAAGCCGGCCATTTTTTTTACATGAGAATGGATTAATCATTTTTACATTACTTCTTATGGGAATGGTTGGTTTGGTATAAGTCCAAACATCAGGAACGGATTAAGGTCGTATACCGAGGTTCCACTGTATTTGTAGCTTTTGATGAAGAACATATCATCATTGATATCTGTAATATGAATCATCGTAAACAAGAAAACATTATCATCAGTATTTTAATGATATATTTAATANCAGCGGTTCTAAATTATTTAAATTAATTAATTAATTTATAATTATTAATGTTAATAAGAGATGGTGCCTAACGCTTACCTCTAGTGCCAAATTGATTACGTAATTTAATTTAATAGTTAGCCTTATACTAGCCCGATAGATTTTCGGCATTCGATTGGTGTGTAGCTTTATTATATATCGGGTTTAGAGATGTTTGTTTATAATTTTAATTGGATATATTTGTGTTTTTTTAAAGGACTTTTTTAAATTCTGGCAGCATGTAGCCTGAAAAGGAAGGAAACATGTCACTAGCCCAGATGTAGTTTTTCTTCAAAAAAACAAAAACTAATGATAAATGATGCTATGAAACCACGTCATTTTGTGAGTGCAATGAAATTTGTTGATGAATGTTATATAATATATATATATATATATATATATAATGTGTGTCTGTTCCAGTGGATTAAACAATAAAATATTTGGATCAAAGTTCTAAGGCATCTCTAATGTTGTTTAAAGGAAAAAGCAGATAAAATGGTATGAATCTTTCACTATTAATGTACTATTGTCATTCATTCAACTTTACACAAAGGTTTATGATAAATTATGAAAAACTGAAATCTAACAAAAAATAGTAAAAAGACATGGCCGGCGGTAATTACATTTAATAAAATTATAAAAAAAATACGACATGTTCACAAAGGTGAGAACCTTGTTCCTGTCAGTCTTTCCGCCGTTTCATTTCTACACCATCAGCGATCCTTAAGACAATTCACAAAATTTTCCGGGGACCTTCCTTTTAAGGCTACTGCCTCGGCAAAAAAAATGTAAAAACAGGCAAAGCGTCCTCTGGTGTTCGTTGCCACTGTCACAATATCACATCTTAAATAAAAAATAGTAAAAAGACATGGCTGGCGGTAATTACATTTAATAAAATTATAAAAAAAATACGACATTTTCACAAAGGTGAGAACCTTGTTTCTGTCAGTCTGAAATCTAACAGCTTTGTAATTACTGAATAGGGTTCTGTATGATTTTACCTGCTTTGTTGCATAAAAAGATTGAAATGATGCTTATTTACAGTTACAGGGACAATAAATATTAGTGAATGACTAAAATCAAACTGTTTAAGAAGTGGCCTTCTAGAAGTGTTTGTAATAAGAATAATAAGGTGGGCCAACGAAAACGAAACGGCAGAGTTATCGTGTTTGTCCAAGCAAATTGCTCGGACAGGTCGATTTTATTCTCAAGGGGGATTATTTTTTTCCTTGCATATGCCGTCCAGCTTAAAAGGTTTTTTTTTTATGTTTGTTAATAGTTTGTGTTACTTTTTTCCAAAATAAGTGTTTATTTAGTTAATAAAAAATGAATGAGTTTTTAAAATTTTTTGTTGTCTGTTGTATTATTGCAAAAACTTTATTGCAGAAGATGTCCCCCTTGAAAATAAAATCGACCTGTCCGAGCGATTTGCTTGGACGAACACAATAACTCTGCCGTTTCGTTTTCGATGGCCCACCCTGTATAATAAATGCAATCAATCTGATAATTACAGTCGAACAAACAATCGGATTCCTTTATTGGGCTTTTAAGGCTAAATAATTATTGAGTATTTTAGCAGGTGTTAGACAGTTAGGCTTACATCACTTGTTAACTTTAAATTTATTTGTTTATAATTAATAAATTTAACAAGATGGTGGTTTAACTTCCTACTTCCTGCCAAATTACTTAGTAATTATTTAGCCTTAATAGTCCAAGAAATCTGACTATATGTTTTATAATAGCAGTAATGCTGCTTTAGAAGCAAATATTCTAAACAAATTAATTTGCCATCATCACTTGATATACAGTATTTACTATTAATATATAGAAATAATTCAGATAATAATGATGTTTGTATAGTTCTTACATTTATTGTGAAAAGTACAATTATAATTTAAGGGAAAATATTTGATTATTTAATCAATTCAACATTTTTCTTGCATTAAATTTATTTTCATTACTATTCTGTTAATGAAATGATTTAGAAAAATTTAAATGAAACCCAAATAATTTTCTAATTTCAGATAATTGAATACGAAAACAGGATACGTGCATATTCGACACCAGATAAAATATTTAGATACTTTGCCACATTAAGGGTTTATAACGAACATGGTTACTCTGAAATATTTATGACTCCTGAAGATTTCCTGCGATCATTAACTCCTGGTGTAAAACAACCCGAAGGTAAAATCTTAAATCTTACAAAATTGTGAAATCAATACTTTGCTATAAATAATTTTTTTATTAAATTCGCATATTGTCGTAAAATTTATGTAGGAATAGTAATAGACAATAATAATTTAGTGTTCATAATCATCTTCAAATTTTACTAAATAACTAACATAATTACAATAATTTAAAATGGTAGCATTCATTTTTGAAGACCCTGTATAAGTGTATAAGATTTTGTATTAACAATAGAATATATAAATTAAGTTTCATACATAAAGCTTTTTTTATATTTTCTAAGGTCTGGGACTTGATCAATTTAAAAGAATCGATATCAAAGTAAGCACAGTTTATATTTCACTCTGCTATTAATTTATAAATGTTGTTTATTTATTGATCAACAAAGTTCATTTTAAAAATTCTATTTTATATTAATTTCTTCTTCCAAAAATCGACTTTTTAAATATAAAATACTTAAATGTTAATTCAATTAATACCTAGAATTGCTTCTTTTGTTGTTATAATGTATACGAAAGTTAAGTGGATTGCAGAAAATGAAAAAAAAGGAAAAAACTTTATGCATTTTTAATTTGTATAAAGGTTTTGAAAGAAAATTCTGTTGAATTAATATTTTATCTATTTTCAAATATTTCATTGTCAAAATTAAAAGAATTATTCATGTATAGTTAATTTATATTGCTAGTCTTTCTGATTTATTACTAGAATAACTGATATTGATCAACAAACTAAAAACTTAGTTTTATGAACAATTTTTGTAATATGGAGTTGAAAAATTTACTGTTAGATGTAGAATATTAGATAACTTCTGGAAATTGCCATTAACTGATGATGAGTTTCTTGTGTTCATATTAAAATCATAAACCATAGCTGAATGATCAGAGCGGTGAAATACTGTGGCCTACTACTGTGAGGGCTTGGGTTCAAGTCTGCATCAGAACTTCAGAAATCTTCATAGGTGGTTTGACCCACGAGTATTGCATCCTGTGTCTTGCCACCTGGTCTTAGGCCTGCCATATTTGCAATCAGCATAATAAAACTCTTTACACTCAAGTCTTTTGACAGTATCAAACAAGATTCTTCCAATTAATTAGAGAATTTAATAACACATCTTTCATCTATTTATATATTTGATTATTTTAATAATGCAATTGTAGGTTATCCTAAGAGATGTCTTAGGATAATCTACAGTAAATTGATTTTGAATGATGATAAATTTAGATGAAATATTTTAAATTAATTTTAATTTTAGTTTAATTAATTATAAATATAATATAGTTTGTAACAATAATTGTAAATTTCAACCATGATTCCTCTTCCCGACCAGAGTGATACGCCAAGTCGCAGATTTACTTCAGAAACCGGACATTATTCAGTGGGTTGTTCCTCTGTATTTGTTTTGAATGTTTTATATATTTTTTTGTGCTTTGCACGTCAATATTGGCATGTTGTGAATCTGTGTGAAAATTTATTGATAATTTCTTTATCTTTTATTGCTTGATTAATGGCATGATTCTGAAAATGGTCATTAATTCAAATACAGTAGAGTCCTTGTGTGTGTAATAGTAAATTATAAGTCAAATGGCAACTATTCCCCAAGGATGAAAGCTCTAATTTGATAATATCAATAGTAAATGACAGAGATTCAGTCAGATACAAATGAAATTGCTTTATTTTTCAGTATAAGATATTCTTAATGCACATTCTTGAAACCTGTTGTGTCACTAGATTGGTATCGACAATCACATAAAAATCCAAATAGATGATTATTGCACTAAAATTTGGAATTACGATCAGTCATTTGTCATAATTCTGAATTGAAATAAATGTTTACTGAATTAAGATAATTAGGCCCATTAAGAGTTATTGTAATTCCAAATTAATTGAATGTTAGGGCTCTACTGTATTAATTTCTGAAATTAACCCCTTAACTCTGAATGATTGAAAATGATAGTTACCAAATTTTACAAGTTGTCAGAACAAGTCGTCCTTTAAGTTTAGAAGATTTTACAATGATCTGTTTGAAATAAAGTGAAAAAATAATGCCAAAAACTTTATTTAATAGTGATTTTAGAACTTGCTTCAGCATAAAACTTGCCATGATTTAAATGAAACAGTTAAGATCAAAACAATATCAAAAAATTTAAGGGATTAGACTGGCTTTGCTTTTGTTCTAGATGTGGGTGTGTTACAGAAAATATGCACAACACAGAAAAAAGTTTGGTGTTACAATGAGATTTAAGAAGTTGCTATGATTGACACTTAAATTTGGGGTCGTGAGTAGGATAAATGTCATGCATGCCCGAACTTTGGCCCATCGTGCAATGCATTTACGGTGAATAGGGCATATTTACTTGTATTTATGGAACATCTTTTCCAGAACTAAGCATGTGTTACTAATAAAAACAAATAAAATGCAAAAGAAATATGAATATATCTACAGCATATACAGTAGGCTAGATAATGTTAATTTATCTATTGATACTTAACAATCTTCTATAATTTGAAGATGAAATTAGATAGTGATTGAATAATGCCCATCTTGTTAATTGAGAAAATGGATGTTTAATCTTGCATCTTACATTAAATACACTAGCAGTAGGGAACAAATGTTGAAAAGAAGAAAGTTAATTCATAGGATAGTAAAGATACTTTGCCATCTGACAATAACAAATTGATGATATTTTAATATCATACGTTGGCTAGCTAAATGTATCAATCCGATGCTGCGAGAGATCCATATTCAAGTCTGGTTTGGATCCTAGGTAAATCTGCAGTGGGCATGAAAAAGTTAGGTAAGATCATGTTGTTGTATATGTATATAATAAATTTTAGAGCAGAAACTATTAGAATTCTCTGTTGCAAGATAAAAAAAAAAGAAATGCACATTAAGGGGTTAAATTTTCAGAAAGGAGTGCTTTGTAAGTTTTTAATTATGGATTGTGTTTTTATTTTAAATTTAACTCTTTGGATAGATGATGATTGTAGCAGATAAATTTCTCTCTTCTACTCTTCTTTAAACTTGTATTTTGATGGAATGCTGCATTATGGTAATTTTGTGTGAAATTTCTTTTTAATGAAATTTGCCTAAAACATTTTTATTAATCTTTAAAATCTTAATGTAAATGAATATAATTAATTTTTTAAAATTTTTTTGAAATTACAAAATGACAACTATTGAGCAATAAACTTTACTTGTCTAAAATTATATTCTTTACATTTGCATTTTTTATTATCTAATACTTAGTAAATAATAACCAAAGTATTGCACTTTACCATTATGTTTTTATTTAAATATCTTTCAGGAGACTTCAAAAACACATTCTCTAGTACAGAATGAAGACAGCATATTCTACAAACTGGGAACAGCGGGACTTATTGGTTTTTCCGAATATATATTTTTATTAACCATACTTTCAGGTGAGATTGTGTTGGGTCTCGTGTATGCTCGCGACGTTATCTGCAAGTTTGTCAAAAGTCTCCATTGGTAAGAAAAAGGCTGTTTACATGGTTATTTTCTAGGTACAAAATATGCTGTGTGTTCCTTTATTAGCACATACGTGCATAACACCTGACATATTCCATTAGTGTTTTGTAACTCCACCCAGTATACAATTGTTTTTGAGTACCCCATAGATAAAGATTTCCTTAAGGACCTTTAGAGAGCCACTCCACAAGATGATGACCAGTTTAATGAAGCTGACATTGCTGATCAAATACCTAGCACTACATGGAGGCTTTTGACTTACCCCAATAATTGAATATAATGATTTTTGTAGTAGAAATACTATTTCTATGGTATAATCCACAAAACTAAATTCTTTTCATGGGTCTGTGGTTTTATTTAATAATTGCAATTGGGTCCAAGCAGTTAGCCTATACTTTATATATTACAGGACATGCCTTGTTTAAGGCATGTCCTGTAATATATAGGTTTGGGATGAAAAGTGACAATGCTGTTATTATCAACATTGAATTTGTTTGGAGAAAATTTACAAGGGTTTACATTGAATAATTCTTTTTTGTATTGTGAGCCCGACAGTTTAGATGCAGAACAAGAGAATAAAAAATTGCTTAATCTGTGTATAATGATAGATTAATAGGTCATAACAAATTTTTTTTACAGCAGAGCATTAGAACTTGAATTTTACAATTCCAATTTTGTCCCTCAAATGATTTAATGATGTACAGTATCTTTATATAAAAACAGTCATGCTTGTGTAATTTTTCTCACAGAACAGCTTGTTTTGAACTGATACAATTACCATTATTTTTGGAATTCAAACTAATAGACTTGTGAACTAAATTTGGTTTGATACAATTGATTTTTTTGCATTTTTCATCCAGAGATGATGGTAGATTCATTACTGCTTAAACTTTAGTAAAAGAAATTTTTTATGATCGTCACCTGCTAAATCTAGAAGTGATGTCAAACAGGAAATGCTACTTCATGCAGTTCGGGAGGCAGTTCGAACTTGGTATTATACAATAAGATCCTTGTGTCATACATAACTTCTATTTTGTGATTCTGTTTGGCCTAGTCTTTCTTTTTAAGGATGATAATGTTTGGCTTATTCACTTTTATTAAAACTGATATTTTTTTGCAGTTTGAATTGGTAAACTAGATCTTGGGACTTGACTGCCATAGGGTGTGTCAGAGATGTTCTAAGATGCATTGTGTCGGCCTTTTCATAGTTATTCACGAGCTGAGAAATGGAATTTGTTGCTTGCAAAGCTAATTGACCATCTTAAATTTGCATAATTTGTTGTCATGAAAATTATTTCCTCATTTCTTTCCTATTAACCTTTCACACTGATAACATCTTATGTATTTAATCTCTTAATTTTGGAGAATATAATTATATTATTAAATAATTAGTATAATGTCAGAATGAAAATCGTATTTGTGTTTACTATAAAAATATAAACAAACTTTATTTCCTACCGTAGCTTCCAAGCGTCATTTTGAAATTGCTTTCAGGATGTTTGATCTCAATGGCGATGGGAACGTGGATTATGAGGAATTTGAAAAGGTAAGTCAGTCACTTATCTTTTTTGATTATTAGCTTGATTTAAATTGAGTTAGAACTGCCCCTAGAGTTTGCGGGACCTGGGGCCAAAGTCGATATTATTTAAAACATATAACCTCACTTCTCTACTCTATTTAGGCTTTGTGGAACTCTTACTTTAATTCTAATAAAATTATAGAGTGCCATTATCAATAATGAACTGGTGATTTAAAAAATCTAAATTCTTTTTCTTCATGGGTACACTAAAAGATCTCTTTTCAAGCCCATAGTGGGTTTGGCTAGGCCCCAATATATCTGGGCCCTCTGAAAAATTTTGCCTTGCCCTGCTTGCTGTTAAGGACAGTACTGATATAAATTTACAAGACAACTGTAAGATTTAACAAGATTAACTCAAATTTCTAGGTACAGAGAATCATCCGTAATCAAACTAGTGTCGGAATGAGGCACAGAGATCATGCAAATACCGGAAATATATACAAAGGTTTCAGCAGTGCTCTGGCGACTTACTTTTTTGGTGTCAACCTGGACGAAAAACTTACGATCGAAAATTTCTTACTGTTTCAAGAGCAGTTGCAGAAGGAAATTTTAACGTTAGAGGTTTGTATCCAATTTTTATATTAGATTAAAATTTGCTAATTTACATTTAAATTTAAACATAATTGCATATATGTTTCATTATATGTTAAACAAAACAAACTTGTACAAACAAAAAAATCGTTTTCTTAATTTGATGTGGACATATTCTGTTTATCACATTTAAATTACAAATTAATAAAATTAGTTTCGAAGAAAAGAACCAAATGAAGAGGGTAAGATCCGAGAGATAGACTTCGCAGATCTGTTGCTGACTTATGCCGGAATGCCAGAAAAAAGAAAATTAAAAATGCTGAAAAGGGTGAAAAAAGCATTCAAACAAAGCACGAAGGTAAATATCGGTATGTGGTGTGTAGCATTCATTGACGTTCTGTATTAATGCAACTATGCAAACGATTTTCATCCTAGGGCATCTCCCTGGACGATTACCTTCGATTCTTTCATTTCTTGAACAACATTGCAGACGTAGACACTGCACTCACTTTCTATCACATTGCCGGTGCTTCGATAGATGAAGGTAAGCAAACAATCTTTATAGAAATAAGTTATAAATAACAGAATTCCTACATCCTTGTTTTAAGCACAGAAATGGAAATAATATTAAAAATCATTAGCATTGACAGACCAAAAATTTAATTAGATTAGATTTTATTTTTAATATAAATATGAATGAAGAATTTTTACATTTCCAATACAGTGGTACCTCGGTATATGTCTGCTTTAGAATGCATCCAGCTCGGTATACAACTTAATTCAATTATACGTGCCATCTATGAACAAGTAGCACTATCGGTGTACTAGACCAGACTAGACGTTTGCGGTGCCACAGTTTATAATGGGTGGGCAAGCAAGAGTTCATTGGGAGCCGAAATGTAGGTTTTGCAAAATGCATGGGAGCTGCAATTTTGTATTTTTTTACTCTGTACCACAATTTTATTATATAATATAAAACAAAAATATTGATTTTTTTCAATAAACACATTTTCACAAAATTGTGGAAATAAAATTGTAAAAATAATAATAAAAAGCAGAAATTAACACTTTCAGCAAGAGCCGCATTTAACTCAAAAAGAGCCACATTTGCCCATGTCTGGTTTATAACTTTGTTAAATTTCTTCTGATTTTAATTTGTAAGTAAAATTTTATTATTTTTATTAATCATGAATTGCAAAAAGACAAATGAGAAGCAACAGAAAACTAAAAAAATGACTGGAATCACAATGGAACTGAAAAAAGAGATTGTTGAGAAATATGAAGGTGGCACGCGTGTTCGAGATTTTAACTGTTGCATACTGTAGAGAACGACGATATTAACAATCGTGAAAAATAAATACATTATTAAACCTGCTAACGTTGCTAAAGGGGTTAAATCAATTTCTAAACAGAAATTGAAGACATTAGATCATGTTGAGAAATTGCTTTTGCTTTGGATAACTGAAAAACAGTGTGCTGGCGACAGCGTATCAGAAGCAATTATTTGCGAGAAAGCTAAAAAGATGCATGCTGATCTCATGAAAAATCAAGCAGGAACTAGCCAGGAAAGCAAGGTGTTTAAAGCCGGCCATTTTTTTTACATGAGAATGGATTAATCATTTTTACATTACTTCTTATGGGAATGGTTGGTTTGGTATAAGTCCAAACATCAGGAACGGATTAAGGTCGTATACCGAGGTTCCACTGTATTTGTAGCTTTTGATGAAGAACATATCATCATTGATATCTGTAATATGAATCATCGTAAACAAGAAAACATTATCATCAGTATTTTAATGATATATTTAATATCAAAGTGAGAATGTTTATTTTCTTTTTTTTGTAAGTCTTCTTTTTCTTTGAAATGCCATTTTTCCCCCTCCGTCGTGATGGTCACCAGAAACTATCAACTTTTTATACCTACACTACATAGATGGTAGGCAACTTTACTAACATCAGTCGTACACAAATTCCAGAATTTCAATTCTTTGATTAACAGTTCACCCGTGGGAGTCGTTTTTACCTCTGGGTTGGACTTTGGTGCATCAAAAGGAACTAGGAAGCACTATTGTGTATAAAGCACAATATCAGTTGAAAATCTTAGTTACAGAAATGTGAACTTTAATGAAAAATGAAAATGGTAAAAGCTCAAGTAAAACTCACTAAAGAAGCTGTTCTAGAGAACAGCTTCTTTAGTGAGTTTTGTAAATTTATAAACATTGTCTTTTTGTAAAGGTTTGCAATTTAAAAAGTAAACAAAAGTTTCAGATTTCTTTGAATTTAATTAATGAATACAGTTATTTCACATTTCTGTGAGTGAGAATTACTATATTCCATATTCTTAGTATCAGGCTATCAGGTTATAATCTAGATTTCATCTTGACCACTACATATATTACTTAGTTTGATAATGGTAATTCAATTTTCTTGCATAATGTAGAAGTCAAATATTTTATAAAATTCAATAGTAGTAATATTTGATTTCTGCGTTAAATTAAATTTAACAAAACTCATTTTAGGGATGGGTCTACTTTTATTAGAAAATGCAATACTTTTTTGTCAATACAGTGGAACCTTGGTTAACCAACTTAATCCGTTTTGCAACTCTGTTTGTTAACTGAAGCAATTTTTTCCATAGAAATTAATGCAAATACAATTTATCCATTCTGGCCTCTGGAATTTTTGTAATTTTATTTGTAAAATGGGTTTTCTTTGATGAAAATAGATACTACGTTTTCCTATATCATTACAGCAACAAATATGTAAACTTTATTTAATAAAATAGCACTGTACAGTACATACCTTTGTTTTGTTACAGTTGGTGGCAGGAGTGGAGATGTATAAATATTAATGCTTCAAAGGGATCCCCTCCATAAAAATATCGGTTTGCACTGTATTGGGAAATTCTTTGAGTCGAGATCTGTTTTGCTGGGAAACAAGAAAGTGGTCTAAAGTTGTGATTGTCTTACTCTTTTAATCAAAATGTTTCTAAAATGCAATATTGCATTGTCGTTCATTAAATTAATGGCCCTATTAGCACAATGGCACAATTTTGTTAGGGTGGTGCTTCTCAATAAATTCCTGCACATCATTCTATTCTCTGCAAATTTCCTTGATCTTGACACTGGTGATTTCTTTCCTAACCTTCTCTTACAAGAAGAGCATTTGTCAGAGGAAGACTTTCACCTGTTCTTCCTGCAAGGCAACCAGCTCTTCTGTGGTTAGTTCACTTTGATAGTCCTTCATCATCGACCTCTAATCCCAATGGACACAATTTCATGCACTACATCAGGCGAGCTCTCTGCTTCAAATCCCTCAAAATTTCTCTCTGGGATACAAGTTTGCAATTGTCCTTGAGGTTTGGCTAAGTGGTGAGAGACCTCACTGCAGGCTTTGTCAATAAGGTTGATACAATGCAGGATGTTAAAGCCTTTTGGAAGGTGCATTTTAAGGGTTAAGTTGATATCATTGGTAACCTGGAAACCCTGGTAAACATGCCTTGGTGTACAGCATTTTAAAATTGAAAATCACTTGCTGATTCATTGGTTGCAGTAATGGAGTTGTGTTGGGTGGAAGGAATTTGTCCTTGATGAAGTCATGCTCACTATCCAGGTCTTCAAACTTGATGGATTATGCTGAGGCATTATCCATTAAGAGAAAACATCTAAGAGGAAGATCCATTTGCTGAAGATAATTTTTGACAGTTGGAGCAAACACTTCTGTCTTGCTATTTGCCTTCCATTGTACAGGCAATTTGAACTGTATTGCTCTTAAAGGTGTAGGGATTTTCAGTATTGTAGACTAAAAGTGGCTTGATTTTGAGGTCGCTGCTTGCATTAGTGCAAAATAAAAGGATGAGCCTATCCTTCATGGGCTTGTGGCTGGGTAGTGCTTTCTCTTCTTAGGTTATGTACGTTTGTCTGGTCTTTTTTGGGAAAAAATATGCCTAGTCTTGTTGCAATTAAAAACTTGATTTATTTGAGACATATCCTTTGCTATTTACAAATTCTGCAAATTCATCCACAAATGCTTTTGCTGCTTTCTCATCTGAACTCAAAGCCTCCCTATGCCTTATGACACTGAACGCCACTTCGTCGACGAAACCTATCAAACTATCCTTGGCTGGCTTTAAAGTTCTGCCCATCTGTACTTGTACTGGGTGTCTAGGTCAACAAGTCACTGTGTAAATTTTTAGCCTTTCACAAATTATAGCTTCACTAATACTGTCTCCAGCAAGTTGCTTTTCATTGATCCATATTAGCAGCAGTTTTTCAACTTTATCTAAAACTTTAGATCTTTGTTTCGATATCACATTCACTCCTTTAGCCACTTTGGCAGCATTAAATGCTTCTTTGTTTTTAATAATTGTAAAGATAGTCAATTTTGCCACATTATATTCTTTAGCGATGTCAGAAACAGGAATGCCATTCTGTTTTTGCAATAATTTCTTTCTTTAATGCTACACTTAAATGTTTTCTATTGCCACTATCACTTTTCTTTTTCTTGGGTGCCATATTGATTTAAATATACACTTGGAAAAGCAATGTTTACCTTGCGCATGCCTAACAGCAACTAAAATTTGAGACAAAAATTTTTGCAAAATAAAAGTTTGTTAACCAAGGTTCCACTTTCAATAACTTTGTTATTGTTTAAACTGTGTTTCCTTAATTCTAATGTACTCTTTTAAAGTAAAGATGTATTATATTGACAATTGTCATTACTACTGTTGGGGTGTAACATATCAATACCACTTAATGTTAAAAAAGAAAAAAGAGTTTAAATTAAATGGTACTACATTAAAATGAATAATTATTATATGTGCAGAAGCATATGGAGTAATTAGAAAAACAATACCTATAGCCTTTTACTTGTTATGTAAGTTTTAAAAAAAAACTTAAAATGATTTTCCTTCATTATTATGTCTTAGAACAGTGTTTCTCAACCTCTAACGAATCGTCGCCCCCCTTCAACGTAGTATCGTCCCCTTGAATAAAACCATTACGTAGTATCGCCCCCTTCACTACAAAATTCTGATGTCGAGGGACAAGGCTAATGCCAGATTCGTACTGCATTGAATAGACTAGTGACTAGGATGATGTTATTTGTTTAATTATTGTACGATATAACGAATAAAATATCTAATTATTCTTAACCTTCTTAGAAGCAGTTACCACGCCCCCGTGTTTACGTTTATTGTCTAGAAGGGCCAAGGTCAATATAGGTCAACAAGTTATATTATTTCAAAAATTCACAAAAAATCAAGTTATTTTTTATTGTTATATTCATATGACAATAAAAGTTATTATTAAGTTATTGTTATATTCATATGACAAAAATCACGTTACATTTATTAATATCTGTAGTTATAAATACGATATTTTTAAATACATTTCCATAAAAAAATTCAATAGAAAAAAATTATAATATATCAGAACTGACATCTGTCTGTGAAAATTTGCAACATTTTTTAAAATTCACATACTCCAATTAAGTAGTTTGTTCTTGGCACTAAGCCAGAACGACTTAAAATGTTGTTCTGTACAATTCTATATAACATTTATGAATGTACGATTTTTAGTTTTAAAATTATGACAGATTATAATATATCCTTTGTTTGGAATCTAACCTTTATTTTGCTATCGATGAATATTACGAACTAATATTCTTTATTCATTTTATTTTGAACAATAATATAAATTATTGTGATAAATATATAAACCAGTAGTAATACATTTACGATGTGCTAATATTTTTAATTAAATTAAAAAATAAAAAATAAAAAAATTTATAAAATATTAAAATTAAAGGTCACAATTTAAATATTTATCATACATTGACTTATTATAACTGAATAAACTTATTATAGCATGAATGAACGTATTTTAGTAATATTATTACGTAAATATGCTATAAAATAAATGAGAGAATATATAAATTAAGAAAATAAATCGCTAAATAAAAATTTTTGAGTCGACAAAACACCACCTGGACAAAAATATGTGAAACAGATGGTAGACAACACACTACGGTCAAGTGGTGGCATCTGTTGCCAAAAATTTTCATTAAAATCGATTTTTGCAGGGTAACGACGAATCGGTACTCTAGTACATTGTTATAACAATGGGGGGGGTGCGACAGATCGTTACCCTGGTTTTAAGAAAGTTAATATAATGTTTTACTATATCGCCCAGAAAATTGTTTTTTGCCCCCAAAATATAAATTGTTACTAATCGCCCCCTCAACATGGAAAAACACCCACATGGGGGCGATATCGCCCCCGTTGAGAAACACTGTCTTAGAACAAAGGACATATTGTTTGTGTGTGTGTAATATTTTAAAATATCTCTAGTAAATATTGTATGTACTATATTTAAATTGTTTCTTTCTAGCTACTCTAAAACACGTAGCAAAAACAGTTGCCCACGTGGATCTTCGGGATCATGTCATCGATGTCGTCTTCAGTCTATTTGATGAAAATAGTAAGTCCATAATCCGAAATGTCTCCCTTCTTGTTTTATTGTGTTTGTTAAAACAGAATCCAAAAATTTACCGAATCTGTTTTTAGTGTTCTTAGAAGTGGAGAATAACATTCTCAACTTTTGAGATCGAAACAGAGTTCGTAAAAGGTTGTCATGGTAAAATTGTTAGTCAGGATTTTTTTGTCTCGAGTTAAACTTATTAAGCCATTTCTCAGAGTTGTTACAAAATTTAATAGTGCTTTTGAGTACAGTTGTCTTTGTGTCCCAATTGGAATGCCAGTAACATACTGAGTTTTAAAAGGATGTCAACACAAGTTTGTAATGGCACAGCATTGTATTTGTATGGAATATAAGGTAATGAAGATCATTTGCCTATCAAAGGGTAGAGGGTATACAGGAAAATAGGTTAGAGTTGAAAATACAGCCAATTTTGACTTAACAAGATTGTATTATATGGAAAACCCTATTTATGATGCTCCAGACCCACAGCCAAACCACATTAACTCAAAGCCATGTTAATGAGATTTTACTGTACAGTAATATCCTAAGTTACGTAAGTAATGCAGACTATAGACCTTGTAAATTGCTTAAATGTAACTACATAATAAATACAGTATTGAATTATTATAAGTGTACTGTACAAAGGGCAGTCAAAAAGTTCCTGGAATTTACTTACAGTTAGAAAATGCTATATTAGATAAGGTTATGCATTGTTGTGGCTTGAAGCTCAGCATGTTCATTTGCAGTGTGATAATGCTTGTGTAAGTTTAGACTTGCACAGTCGTCTTTGCACCAAATGATAAAAAGTCATGCCCTACAATGTCCCAATCAAGCAACGTGCAAATTGAAGGAAACTGCTGCAGAGACACCATCAGCTCTGCACCAAGTTTACAGTGATAAAGCACTAAAGAAATTGCAGTTTACAATTGGTTTTGCTGGTTGGAGGATGACGAATGCAGCGGGAGACCTTCAACATCCGTAAGTGAAGAAACATTGAAAGAGTTCAAGAACTGATTAAAATGATCAAAGAGTAACCGCTAAGTTGGAGCAAGAAGTTATCTCTCACTGATCCATTCATGCAATTCAACAAAACACCGAGTCACACATCACTTGTGCAGCAATTCCTCACTGTCAAAAGCATTCCTGCCATCACCCAGCCACCTTGCTCTCCAAATCTTGCTCCCAGTAACTTTTGGCTGTTCCCTATTCTCAAAATGGCCTCAAAGGAATTCGTTTTGCAAGCAGGGAGGATATCATATCGAATACGATGGCCCAACTCTGGAAGATTCCAAAGGAAGCATTCCATGCCTGCTTTCAATAGTGGCAGAATCAATGGAACAAGTGTTTCTGTGTGGGAGGGGCTTACTTTGAAGGTGATTAGGTCTGTGTTACCATATCTTGAGCCACTACAGTGCAGAATCACAATTCCAGGAACTTTTTGACTGACCCTCATACATATATTATTTTTTTCTATAAATGAATTGGTTACGAGAAAGAGTGCCCAGTATGCTTGCGTATATGCTTACAATTAGACCGAAAAGTAAAGGATTAAATAAAATTAATAATGAATTTAACATGACCAATGGTAATTTACGTTGTAATTATATTATTAAACTTTTAACAAAGATAAAACTTTGCTTCAGTCCTTTCCTTCTGTTGTTTGCACCATCAGCAGTTCACAAAACTCACAGAGACATTGGTGTCCTTGCCACAATCATTGTGACTGTGGCAATGATGCTTTATCATACTTTGCATTTTTTACTATGGAGGCAGTAGCCTTAAAAGGAAGGTCGTATCTGTGAGTTTTGTGATTTTTATGAACTGCTGATGGTGCAAACAACAGAAGGAAAGGACTGAAGCAAAGTTGTAATTATATTTATTATATTATTAAATGTAAAGGATTAGTAGAGCAATAAAGTAATAAATTAGTACAGTGTGAAAGAAAAAAAGAATGAATGTTTGAAATAGAATAATTCTTTCATTCTCTTTGTAAAATTACATGTTACTATACTCAGATTTTTTCTAGTTTTTGAGATTTATATTTTACATAACTGCAAATTTATGTAAGTCACATGTTACATAATTCGGGTGTTACTGTATATGAAAAAATTTTCATATACAGTATGTTTTTAGCATTCCTGTTTTTATTGCATACTTCTGACTACCTTCTAAATACAGATTAGTACAGTGGTACGTCAAGATATGAAATTAATCCGTTCCGAAACTGAGATCGTATCATGAAAATGTCATAAGTTGAATCATTTTTTCCCATACGATTACATGTAAAACCAAATAATTTGTTCCAACACACTCAAATTAAAGCTAAGTTGTACATTAAAAAAACTGTAGTAAGGAAAACACTGAAAAATGCATTTTGTAGTTGTAAATGTATAAATAACCATAATAAAATAATAATTTATTTTAAAAAATTTAGTTTTATTTGCACTTTACCTTTGAGGATAGACGACGGTGGAGATGTAAACTGGTGGCGGGAGAAGGGAAATGATACTAAAACTTAACTTACATAACATAATGTAACAATAACTTAAAAATAACTTAGAAAAGATAAAAAAATTAGTGTTGTTTTATATTTTTCATTGCATGGAACAAATTGTACTTCT